CGCCCCCCCGAGAGACCGCGCGGCGCCCGCCGCGACGCCGCACACCCATTCGTACCCCGCTCCTCACCTTAGGTCATCTTCACGTCCGCGGGCGACGACGCGACGGACACGTTCGCGCTGTTCCACGCGGCGGGCACGTCGAAGCACCTCGCGCCGTTCCTCATCGGCAAGCTCAAGGAGGAGGACCGCAAGAAGTGGAGCGACGAGCGCCCCAAGGGCGAGGAGCAGCTCGAGTTCGAGAAGGGCTACCGCCGGCTCCGCCTCGAGATGAAGAACCAGGGCCTCTTCAAGTCGAACTTCCTCTTCTACGTCTACAAGATGGGCTCGACGTTCCTCCTCGCCGTCCTCGCCGCCTTCCTCGTCGGCGCCTTCTCGGAGAACACGGCGGCGCACTTCGCCGTGCGCACCGCGGGCGCGGTCCTCCTCGGCATCTTCTTCCAGCAGTGCGGCTGGCTCTGCCACGAGGTCTGCCACCACCAGGTCTTCCAGGACCGCACGCTCGGCCGCTTCATCGGCTACGTCTGGGGCAACCTGGCCCAGGGCTTCTCCGTGGGCTGGTGGATGAACAAGCACAACACGCACCACAGCGTGCCGAACGTCCACGGCGACCACGACGGCGCGCAGAACGGCGACCCGGACATCGACACCATGCCGCTGCTGGCCTGGTCGCGGTCCATGCTCAAGAAGGCGACGACGCCCATGGCCCAGTGGTGCGTCAAGCACCAGGCCTTCACCTACTTCCCCCTGCTGTCCGTCGCGCGGCTCTCGTGGCTCCAGCAGTCCATCGAGTACGCCTTCAAGCCCAACAAGTACTCGGGCCGCTACATCGCCGGCACGGACAAGCTCAAGCCCCTGCCCTACGAGAACGTCGAGCGCGCGTCGCTCGTCGCGCACTACGCGTGGTACTTCGCCATCGCCTTCAGTTGCCCGTCCGTCTTCGACGCGGTCTGGTTCGTCGCCGTCTCCAACGTCTCCTGCGGCCTGTCCCTCGCGCTCGTCTTCGGCCTCGGCCACAACGGCATGGCCGTCTACGACGCCGCGCACCGCCCGGACTACTGGAAGCTCCAGGTGACGACGACGCGCAACGTGAAGCAGGACCGCTTCGGCTTCGTCCACTGGTTCTGCGGCGGCCTCGACTACCAGGTCGAGCACCACCTCTTCCCCACCGTGCCCCGCCACAACCTCGCGGCGACGAACAAGCTCGTCCAGAAGTTCTGCAAGGAGTACGGCGTCACCTACCACGAGACGACCATCTGGGACGGCACCGTCGAGGTCCTCAACCACCTCCAGAAGATCGCCACGGAGCTCCACGAGGAGTTCCCCGCGATGTAGGGGCACCCGCCCCAAGGCCGGCCGCGCGCCGCCCGTCGAGGCGCCGCGCGGCGTAGCGCGCGCGTCCGCCCCTCTACGGCTAAGGACCGCGAGCTCCGCACGAGACTTCCAACGCAGCCGCTGCGGCAGTTCGTAGACCGCTTCCAGCACACTAGTTACTACACGGGAACAACAGCAGCAGCCTACGGCTCGACGACGTGGAACTTGCGGCAGAGCGGGCAGGTGGCGCCGCTGCCGCGGCGCGTCGACCGCGTCGCGCCGCTCTGTACCAGGTGCCGCGCCCAGGCCGCCAGGCATTTGCCGCAGGACGCGTGGCCGCAGGGCAGCACGGGCGCGCCGTCGGCGTAGCAGACGGAGCAGGGGGCCGTCGGCGGCGGCGGCGCGGGCGCCTTCGGCGGCGGCGGCGGCGGCGGCGGCGCGGGAGCCTTCGGCGCGGCCTTGCGCCGCTTCGGCGGCGGCGGCGGCGCCGCCGGCGTCTCGGGCGCCTCGAGGAGGAACTCCGGATACGCCGCGCGCGCGACCTCGACGACGGAGCGGCGCTGCCGGCCGCCGCCCGGCGGGAGGTAGTACTTGTCGACGTGCGCGACGCCCTCGCGCGGCTTCTCGACGACGGTCCAGCCGTCGGCGGCCATGCGCGCCTCGAGGCCCCGGCGGTCGCTGACGCCGCCGCCCTTGGCCGGCTCGCGCTTCCGCGGCGGCTCGCGCCGCGCGTAGCCCTTCGCCGGAATTTCCGGCGCGTCGGCCGCCTCGGCGCGCAGCGCCTTGAGCGTCTCCTTGACGCGGCCGCTCAGCGGCTTGATCTCGCCGTTGCGGTCCTCCTCGGCCGCCTCGCAGTAGGCCACGGCCTCGTCCCACGTGTTGTCGCGGCACCGCCAGGTCTTGCAGAGCGACTCCGGCGCGTCCAGCCCGCTCAGCGGGCCCGGCAGCCGCCGGAGCGCGTCGCAGGCGCAGCACTGGACGTACTCGGCGACGAGCGCGAGCACGTACTTGGAGGACCGCGCGACCTCGCCGTGGGGCGAGATCCAGTAGGGGTCCCAGGCGCTCGGATTGGCGATTCGCGGCACGGCGACGCAGCGCCAGCCCTCCAGCTTGCCCCGGGGCCAGCCGCGCTTCTCGACGAAGTCGCCGGCCTCGCCGAGCAGCCGCAGCTCCAGCGCCGCGAGCGAGTCGGGCGCGGGGGCGAGCGATTTCGCCGCCTTCGCCTTCGCCGCGGGCGCCTTCGCCGCCGGCGTCGGCGCGGCGCGCGGCTTGCGCTTCGGCGCCGCCGTCGCCGTCGCCGGCGAGTAGGTCTGCGGCGGCTTCACGACGCGACGGGACCGCGCCGGCGTCTCCGACGGCGCGGGCGGCGGCGCGGAAGCGGCGGCGGCGTCCTCGGGCGCGAGGAGTCTTTGCGCCTGCTTCACCGCCTTTGCCGCGCGCATCATAGCCATTCTTTCGGCCGTTCTTTGGGGCATCTTTTCACTCGCGGGCGCGGGCGGCGGCGCCGGCGCGGAAGCGGCGGAGTCCGTAGTCGCAGGTGCGGTCGCGGACGCGGGCGCGGGCGTGGGCGCCGGCGCGGTCGCGGGCGCCGGCGGCGCGGAAGCGGCGGAAGCGGCGGCGCCGTCCGCGGGCGCGCGCGCCGCGGCGGTCCCGGTCGCGTCGCCGCGCAGCGCAGCCACAGCTCGTTGGAACCGGGCCGCGGGGAGGCCCTTCACGCCCTCGCAGAGCTCGAGGATGTCCTCCGGCGCCGCGGCCTTGAGATCGTACAGTGTCGAGGCATTGTCGCGCACGTTGCGCACCAGCCTCTCATTGACCAATCCTTCGAGCGCAAGCCACGCCTGGAGGAAGGCGGGGTCGTAGAGTTCTGCACCGCCCTCGCTGGCCTCGTAGGGCGGGTCGGGCGCCAAATGCTCGGCCATTTTGAGAGAGGCCCCGCCAGAGCGTCACGCCAGCACCATCTACCTTGAACCACTGCAAGCAGCCCTCAAACGCGAGGTGGGAGAGCCCCGACACGGCCGCCGCGCGCACCAAGCATGGCCGCGCTGCTCATCCCGCCGACGCGCGACAAATCGTGCCCGCCCCCGACCCCGGAGGAGGAGGAGGCGCTCGCGTCCGGCGGTTTCGACGACATCGATTTGAAAGGGCTGGCCAAGGCCAACGACGACCTCATGAACCTCATGAAGACGGACCCGGGCCTGCCCAAGGAGACGCGGCGGCGCATGGAGATCGACGAGGAGCGGGCCCGGGAGGAGGAGCTCAAGAAGCGCCGGTCGAAGAAGGACCGCGAGCGCATCGAGGCGGAGAAAGCCGCGCGCGTCCTCCCGCGCGATCGAAATTCCTGGGGAGAACTAGCGGCGCCGCGAAGGCATCGTCCCAGGTACGCGGCCAAGGCCAAGGCCCAGCAGGCCGTCCACAAGGAGAAGGAGCGCGACGCCGCGGAGACGCGGAAGCGGACCGCGCGGAAGATCGCGAGCACGCAGCCCCTGACCATGGGCACGGGCCCCGTGCCCGTCGACGTCGGCGACGTCGTCGAGGCCTACCTCTACGAGAAGTTCTACGACAGCATCGACTTCATCTTCGTCCCGCCCGCGGGCACGAAGTCCCGCGACCTCGACGTCAGGGTCGCGGCGAAGACGATCACCGTGGGCCTCCGGGGCCGGCCGCCGTGCGGTGCTTCGGCGTCGCGACACGGAGCTTCCGAAACGGAGGACGCGCCGCGCGCAGGTACCTCGACGGGAAGCTCAACGGCGTCGTCCACGTCGACGAGACGATCTGGACGCTCACGGACGGCGAGCTCCGCGTCCAGCTCCAGAAGGCCTACCCGAACACGCACTGGTTCCACGGCCTCACGCTCGACGAGGACTGGAGGTGCGCCTGGTGAGCTCGAGAAAAAGTGCAAGTTGGGGCGAAACGTAAAAGAATCTTAAAGAGGCAGCCCGTCTCGCAAGCGGGGACTGGAGGAACAGGGAGCGGTGGCCCATCGCCCTCGCGCGCCCGGCCGCGCCGCCCGGGGGCCGTACGCGTCCGTCGCCGGGGCCTCGGCGAGCGGCGCGGTGGGCGCCACCGAACCATGCGCTACCTCAACACGCTGGCGAGCTACGTGCCGTCCATCATCGTCAAGCACTGCCTCGAGGACCAGACCGAGAAGCTGCCGAACACGCAGACCTACGTGACCGTCTGCGTCTTCTGCGACGTGTCCGGCTTCACGAAGCTCAGCGAGGCCATGGCGCTCAGCGGCCGCGGCGCCGAGGGCCTCAAGAAGCACCTCAACTCGTACTTCGCGCAGATGAACAAGATCATCTCCGGCGGCGGCGGCGACATCATCAAGTTCGCCGGCGACGCCATGATCGTCCTCTGGCCCGACAGCGAGGACAGCATGGAGATCCGGTGCCAGCGCGCGGCCCAGGCCGCGATCCAGATCCAGCGGAACCTGGATCGGTCGAAGCTCGAGGAGGGCGTCGAGCTCTCCGTGAAGATCGGCATCGGCGTCGGCGAGGTCACGGTCCTCCACATCGGCGGCGCCTGCGGGCGCGTCGAGTACGTCGCCGTCGGCGAGCCCCTCGTCCAGGCCTTCGCCGCGGAGCACCACGGCGTCTCCGGCGAGGTCATCGTCGCGCCGCCGGCCTGGAAGTTCGTCAAGAAGCACTTCGCCGCCGCGGAGACCAAGGAGGACGGCTTCGTGCGCCTCGACAACGAGGCGCCCTACGACACCATCAAGTCGAGCTCCATCGCGAAGCTCCTCGAGGGCTACTACGAGGCGCTCGAGGAGGACCCCGAAGCCGAGGCGCGGCTCGAGGGCCGGCTGCGCAGCTACATCCCCGAGTCGGCCCTGCCGTCGCTGGACCGCTGCTCGCGCGAGGACGAGAAGTGGGCCAACGAGATGCGCACGGTGACGGTCATGTTCGTCAACCTGGGCATGACGGACCGCGACCTGCTCGACACGACGCGCTACTTCCAGGCCGTGGACAAGGTCCACGCGGTGCTGCTGACGGCGCAGCACGCCGTCTACCGCTACGGCGGCACGGTGAACAAGTTTTTGATGGACGACAAGGGGAGCACGCTCATCGCGTGCTTCGCCGTGTGGCATTCAACCACTGGTTTGGGTGGTCCTGACCAAACTTGAGAATTCTCTCGCTCGGTCACATCGAAGTCGATTCGGCTGATTTTTGGACGAATCGATGGCTCTTGTCGAGTTCTCGAAGCAGAGCCGAAGCGGTTGCGTCGAAACTGTCGCATACGCTCACATTGAAGTCGGGTTGAAGATTTGAATTCCACGCAGGTGCTTCGGTTTGCCGCCCGCGGAGCGCCACGACGACCCGTCGCGCGCGGTGCTCTCCGCGCTGCTCCTCGCGGCGGAGCTCTTCGAGTTCGGGTTGCCGGCGTCCATCGGGCTGACCGTCGGCGAGGTGTTCTGCGGCATCACGGGCTCCGTCGGGCGCCGCGAGTACACGGTGCTCGGCGACTCGGTGAATTTGTCCGCGCGGCTCATGCAGCGGGCCTGCGGCCTCGTCGACGGCAAGGACGAGAACACGGGCGGCGTCATCTGCGACTACGAGATGTACAGCGCCTGCAAGCACCACCTCGCCTTCGAGGACATGGGCCGCATCAAGGTCAAGGGCAAGGACCTGCCCATCCAGATCTACCGGCCCTACCCGCGCGGCTCCGCGGCCAAGGTCGTCGCGCCGCCGCCGGGCTTCGAGCCGCCGCCCAAGGGGCGCGACGGCTTCCGCCGGGACAACGCCTTCGGGGCCATGCACGGCGTCCAGTCGCGCGCGCTCGCGGCCGTCCAGGCGCTCGGCGCGATGGACCGCTGCTTCCCGTCGTCCAAGGCGAGGCGCACGTCGGACGAGTCGCACCACGGCGGCGCGTCGCCCCCGAAGGCGGCGTCGCTGCTCACGCGCGTCAAGGCCAAGGTCGCGAGCCCGAGTTTATCGCCGGCGCGGCCGCCGTTGACGTCGCACCGGTCCATCGTCATCCCGGGCCTCAAGGCCAAGGTCGACATGCCCAAGCGCGGGTCCCAGTCCAAGAAGCGGGCGACCATGCTCGGCCGCATGTCCACGGTCGTGCACCGGCCCCACAGCGGGTCGTCCGCGGACCAACTGGGCAGCAGCCCCGGCGACGACTCGGACGCGTCGACGCGGTCGCTGGGCGACCTCGAGGCCGCCGCCGAGGGCGCCATGGCGCCCTGGTCGCCCCGCGCGTCCTGCGCGACGGCCTGCGGCGCCGCGCGGCTCTACGTGCCGTCCGTCGCCGCGGCCGTGCCCGCGGTCGTCGTCGTCGTCGACACGGCCAAGCCGCCCGCGGACGTCGACAGCGACGACGGCCAGGGCGCCGAGGAGCACGCGACGGGCATCGTGAGCCGCGTCGGCTCCCGCGCGAGCGCCTTCGCGCGCCTGTCGAACCTGCCGCCCGTGCGCAGCAGCCACGGCGGCTCCGACGCGCGGCGGTCGAGCCGCGGGCGGTCCGCGTCCGGCGCGTCCGCGGGCTCCGCGCCGCGGGACCGCGAGTCCGAGGGGTCCATCATCTACTGGCAGGACGTCTACGACGCGCGCGGCGCCGCGAGCGCGACCGTCGCCGGGTCGCTCCACGGCGACCCGGACGCGACGCTGGAAGCTTCCGTGACGAAAGTAGAGGGCTTGGAGGAGGCGGAGGAGACCTTCGACGCGCTCCGGGACAGGGTCCTCGACGCCGCGGCGCAGCTCCCGGGCTTCGAGGCGGCGGCGGCCGACGACTACGCGCTGCGCTTCGCGGGCACGCGGACGCTGCTGCCCCTGGGGGAGACGGACGCCGCGGTCCCGACGAAGCTCGCGCACCTCGGCGAGTGGGCCTGGGCGGCCTACGGCGTCGAGGCCGGCGGCGACGCGTCGCGCCGCGTCGTGCCCCTGGAGCTCGTGAGGCGGGCCGACGTCGGCCGGGGGCCGAGCCGCCTCGAGGCGCTCCGCGCGGGCCTCCTGCTCCGCAAGTTCGCGCTCCTCGGCGACGCGCGGACGGGCTCCTGCACGCTCGTCGAGGGCGAGATGCCCGGCTGCTGCGGCATCAAGGACGCGCTCAACAGCTTCGCGGCGTCGGCGTTGCGGCGCACGTGCCCCGTCGTCTACGCGTCCGCGACGGGCCCCGAGGCGCGGAATCCGGATTTGGCGCCGTGGACGTCGACAATCCGCCAGCTGCTGCGGGTCCACATCGCCCGGACCTGGGGCGCCGAGTGCATGACGATCAAGAACGCGGCCCTCGACCTCCTCAAGGACGACGCGAAGGCGAAGCTGGTCGACGACGCGCTCGGCGGCCGCGGCGCGCGCCCGGGCGACGACGACGGCGACGGCGACGGGCTCCTCGAGGTCGTCGCGGCCTGTTCGACATGCTCAAGGCCCTGGCGCCCATCCTGACGCCCGTGGTCATTTTGGACGACGCGCAGCATCTGGGTGCGGCTTCGTGGCTCTTGGCGGCCGCCGTCGCGCGCGGCGCGTTCGAACCAGCTTCGGAGGCGGCGCCGCTGCCGCTCATGTGCGTCTTCGCGCTCTGCCCCCTGTCGCGCGACGGGACCTGCGCCCTCCCGCCGGAGGCGCCGGCCGACGGCCGCGGCGAGGCCTACGAGAGCTTTGTAAAGTGCCGCGCGGTCTCCGCGCTGAAGCTCGACAAGCTGCCGCCCGAGGACCTCACGGAGCTCGTCATGCGCGAGCTCGGCTCCACCGTCGCCTCCGTCTCCGAGGCGCTGCGCGTCTGCGTCGCGCGCAAGTCGCTGGGCGTGCCCGTCGTCGCGCGGGAATTGGCCGCGCAGCTCCGCGACGCCCCCGGCCTCGTCGCCTACGTGGACCTGGAGGGCGACGGCAAGCCGAGCGTTGCCTACCCGTCGGACGCCGTCGAGGTCCACGCCATGCTCGCGACGGAGATGGCGTCGTTCCACCCGCTGACGGAGGGCGACGACGCGGACGCCGCGTCGCCGCCAGGGCAGCAAAAGAGAGCGAAATTCCCAACTTCAAAGGCTCCTATCTCGGCCGTTTTCCACTCGATTCGGCTGATTTTTGGACGAGCGATCATCTCTCGGAACGGCCTCGAAGCGTGGATGCTTTTTTTGGAACGCGCGCGCGCGGAACACTCACGTTGAAGCGAGGTTGAATCACCCTTTTGCTGCCCAGGTCGCCGCCGTCGGCGCCGGACCGCGCGCGCGGCTCCGTCGGCGACCGCGCGGAGGCGTCGCCGACGCTCGAGCCCGCGGGCCCGCCCCTGAGCCGCATCGCCGCCGCCGCGGCGGCGCTGCCGCCGCCGCCCTACGTGGCGAAGCTGCTCCTCGCGAAGCTCAACGCGTGCTCGTCGTGCGAGATCATGGTGCTGAAGACGGCGTCGCAGCTCGCGGACGGCTTCAAGTGGGCGACGCTCCGCGACGCCTACCTCATCCACGACCACCTGCCGCGCCTCGCGGCCGCCGTCGAGTCCCTCGTGACGCGGGGCCTCCTCGAGGCGACGGACGACTTCCCGGAGATCCACGCGCGGCCGTCCGTGTGCGGGTCCGCGGCGTCGCGGCCCCGCAAGGGCGGCGACACGGTCTACGCGCTGAGCCACGGCAAGCTCATGGCTACCGTGCTCGAGAAGCGCATGCTCGGCGACGACCGGCGCCTCATCCAGGACCGCCTCAAGGTCCAGAAGGCCAAGGCCGACGAGGCGATCCGCGCGAAGTTCCTCGAGAAGATGAACAAGCTCGGCCCGGCCTTCGAGACGACCCAGTTCAAGGTCGGCGCGCTCCAGATCAAGCGCAACGTCGACCGGGACGCGCACCAGCACCACCACGCCTTCTTCCGGCCGCCCAAGTTCGGCGGCTGGAAGAAGCAGGTCCAGGGCACGTGGAAGGAGCGGTACTGCGTGCTGCACCAGAAGTGCCTCAAGATGTACCGCTCCAAGGACGACTGCGACGCCGGCGACGCGCCGACGCAGACCATCTTTCTGGACGCGAACTCGAACACGAACCTCGACAACAACGACGGCCACGGCGACCCGGAGTTCTTCGTCGACGCGCACCGCTACGAGAAGGCGGGAAAAGAGCTCCGGGAGACGCGGCGCTTCTTCTTCCGGAGCGCGCGGCCCCAGCGCACGGCGAAGATGGACGACGTCGACGGCTGGGTGACGACCCTGAAATTGGTGCTCCAGCAGGGCAAGCGGCTCCAGCTCCAGGCGCGCGTCCGCGACGACGACGACGTCGCGCCGCCGCCGCCGCCGCCGCCGGACGACGGCGCGTCGTCGCCCGCGCGGTCGGAGGCGGCGCGGCCCGCCGCGGCGACGCTGCGCGTCGTCGTCGGCGCGGGCCGCACGTTCCTGAACCCGGTGGAGGGCAAGCTCGCGCGGCGCGCGCTCGCGTGCGTCGCCGTCGACGGTCGCCGGCGCACGCCTGTGTGGAGATCAAATCTTCAACCCGACTTCAATGTGCGCGTATGCGACCGCTTTGACGCAAGGCTTTCTGCCGTGCTTCGAGAACTCGACGAGAGCAATCGATTCGTCCAAAAATCAGCCGAATCGACTTCGATGTGACCGAGCTAGAGAATTCTCAAGTTTGGTCAGGACCCCCCAAACCAGCGGTTGAATTCCACACAGGCGCACGCGGCTCGAGGCGCCCGTGGGCGGCAACCCGGCGGCGCCGGACTGGGGCCGCCACGCCTTCGAGGTCGCCGTGACCCTCGAGGAGTGGGCGTCGGGCGAGTTCGCCGTCGAGTTCCGCGACGACCGGCCGCTGCTCACGCCCGACCACGTCGGCGACGCCAAGCGCGGCTTCCTGCGGGACCTGCCGGCGGACGGCGCGGACGACCTCGCCTGCTGCGTCATGGCCAACGGCGCCGCGTCGCCCTGGGACCCGCCCGTGTCCGGCATCGTCGACTGCGGCGCGTCGCTCGCGCTCGGCGAATCGACGCTCGCCAAGGCGGCCGAGGTCGGCGGCGTCGACAAGCTGCTGGCCCTGCTCCAGGCCGCGGCGGCGGAGCCCGAGCCGCGGAGCCCCGCGGTGCCCCGGGAGCCCGCGGCGCGGGCGCCCGAGGAGCCCGAGAAGACGGCCGCGGACTGGGCGGACGCCGCGCGGGCCGCGCTCGACGCGGGCGACGGCGCCGCGGCGGCCGCGGCGTTCCTGCGCGCCGCGGCCCTCGCGGACGCGACCAAGGCGAGCGACGCGGCGCTCGTCGCGTCCCTCGACGACGCGCCGGCGTCGCTGACGATCCCCCGCATGGGCTTCGTCTCCTCCGGCGACGGACCGCAAGCCGACCTCGGCAGCTGGCGCTTCGACGTCTTCGCGGTCCGGGACGAGGAGCTCGCGGCGCTGGCGCGCGACGTGCTCTGCCTGCGGCGCGAGGGCGACCCGCGCGAGCTCGACGCCTTCGTGCGCCGCGTCGAGCTGCTGATGACGCGCCACGGCAACCCCTACCACAACTTCCGCCACGGCATCGACGTCGCGCAGACGCTCTTCTGCTTCGCCGAGGGGAAGCTCCTCGGGGAGGCGGGCGGGCGGCGGGCCTTCGGGGCGCCCAAAGTCGTCTTCGACGACCTCGAGGTCCACGCGATGATGCTCGCGGGCTTCTGCCACGATTTGGACCACCCGGGCCTCAACAACGGCTTCCACGTCAATTGCGGCCACCCGCTGGCGCTCCGCTACAACGACCGCGCCGTGCTCGAGGAGTGGCACGCCTTCTCCATGTGGCACGTCCTGCGGCGGCCGGACTGCGACATTTTAGCGCGCTACCCCGCGGCGGACGTCGCGAAAATCCGCAAGTTCTCCGTCGCGGGCATCCTCGCGACGGACATGACGCAGCACGGCGCCATCACGGGCGGCGTCCGGGGCCTCGCGGACGCGCCCGAGGACCCGGCGAAGCGCGACGGCCACGCGCTCACGCTCTTCAAGGGCCTCGTCCACGCCGCCGACGTGTCGAACCCCGCCAAGCCCTGGGCCGTGTCCAAGGCCTGGTCCGACGTGCTCCAGGTCGAGTTCTTCCACCAGGGCGACCTCGAGAAGGCGCGCGGTCTGCCCGTGTCCTTCGGCATGGACCGCGCGACGACGTCCCAGCGCGGCATGGCCATCGGCTTCGGCTCGAAGCTCGTCGGGCCCTTCTACCAGGCCATCGCCGCGCTCCAGCCCGACGTCCAGCCCTGCGTCGACATGCTCAACGACAACGTCGACGTCTGGACGAAGATGGACGCCTAGCGAAGGGGCGGCGGCGCGTAAAGCGGATGTATCTAACGCCTTATCTAAGTCGGCGCCGGTCGGCGTCGGGCGTCTTGCCGCGGCTCCCCACGACAACTGCACGTGGCCGCCTCGTTGGACTGGTTCAAGAGCCCGCAGCGTCTGTGCGTTCTCTGTCGCAGGCTCGCGCAGCGACGCGCGGCACGCAGGCCGCCACCGTGCGCTATGTGGGTCGCCTATCTGCTTGCATTCGTGTCCTTCTTCGCAAGCGATGCATTGGCATTGACGGCGCGGTTCTTCGTCGCTCGACCGGCGGCCGTCATCCCCTCGAACATGCTCGCCACGCCCGGCGCGTTCGCGCGCGCGTCGACCGCCGCCGTCCACGCTCCGGGATGCGCCTGCGCTGTCTGTCCGAAACCTCCGTGTACGATCGCCTCCGGTGCCTGTGTCTGTCCCCTGCACGCGAACGCGTGAACGGCCGCGGCGGCCTCGGCTCCCGGGAAACCCCCCAGCCGCTCCGCCCCCGACGCGCGGCGCCACCCACAATTCGTCGTGACACGCGCTCTGTGCGCCCCTTGGCCCAGAAATTAAGAATCAACGCATTTTGCTCGCGACTCGGGAGAGCGCGCGCGCGAGAAAACCGCCCTCGGCGCTTCCCTCGGATATGCTCAGCGTCCAGCGAAGTCTCGCTGACGGAGAGGAACAGAAAACGCGGCCTTAGAGCTCCGTCGACGGCGACCGCGGCACCGCCGGCGGCGCGCGCGCGCGGTCGTCGCCCCCCGAGTTCGCGCGCGCGCGCCGGAGGCGCGACGCGAGGTCGTCGACGCCCTGGGACAGCGAGCCCGAGAGCGCGGCGACGCGGTCCGACGCGGCGAGGTCCGCGGCCGACTCGCGCGCGGACGCGGCCGCGGTCGCGAGGCGGTCGCGCCACGTGGGCCGCGGGGGCGGCGGCGGCGGCGCCGCGTCGGCGGTCTCCGGCGGCGCCGCGTCGGCGGTTTCCGGCGGCGACGCGTCGCTCGGCCGCTTCCGGGGCTTGCCCACGAGCCACGCGGGCGGGCTCCGCGACCGCGCGGCCGCCGCGGGCGCGCCGTCGCCCGGGCCGGCCGCGCCGTCGTAGTACGCGGCCTTGGCCCGCGCGGCGTAGTCGCCCGCGAGCTCGCCGCCCGCCTCCGCCGCGGAGCCGAGGAAGCCCTTGGTCCACTCGTACTTTTTGCGGAGCTCGGCCTTGGCGTCCTCGGCCGTGACCTCGGCGGCGGCCGCCGCGAGCCGGTCCTTGGCGAGGAAGACCTGGGCGACGAGGGACGGGTTGAAGGCCTCCTCGACGAGGCGCGCGTCGGCGGCGGCGAGCCAGTCCGCCAGCGGCGTGTTCCGCGGCCGCAGGAAGTGGATGCCCGCGGCCGTGTCCAACAACGCGACCACGAAGGGCCCGCCGTGGTCCCGCGCGAGCTCCGACGCGTCGTCGCGGTCCACGGTCGCGACCTCCGACTCCGAGCGCTCCGGGTCCAAAACGCGGCAGGCCGCCAGCGCGTCCAACAAACCCGCGCCGCGGCTCCGCAGGCCCGCGCGCGCGAGGCCGTCGTCGTCGCGGAAGTCGTCGTCCTCGGCGCCCCGCGCCGCGAGGTCCGCGCACGCCGCGAGTTCGGGCGCCGTCAGCGCGTCGACGGCCTGCGACGCCTTCTTCGACGGGCCGAAGACCTTGAGCGGCGGCGCGCCGGGGGCGCCGTCGAGCCGCGCGACGACGCACGGCGACAGCCGCGGAGCCAGCGTGGCCTCCGCGAGGTGCGCGTTCGCCGTCCCGAGAAGCAGCTGCTTCGCCTCGCCCAAAGCGCACAACCGCTCGACGTCGACCATCGTCGCCGTCGGCTCCACGTGGACGTTCGGCTTCAGGCAGCCGCCGAAGGCGTCGCAGGCGCCGTCGTCCGCGGCGCCGAAGGGGTTCTCGATCTCCTCCGGGTTCGCGAGCACGCCGAGCGCGTCCGCGAGGGCCAGCGCCGCGTCGGGCGCCGCGGACACGGACTTGCCGTGGACGAAGATGACGGCCTGGCCGAGCAGGGCCGCCTTGTAGCACTTCAACGCCCCCGCGAAGCCCAGCGCCGCGCACGCTCCAAAGAGGCCCGACACGTCCGCGTCCTCGGTCGCCCGCCGCGCGGCGAGCTGGCCGTGGAGCTCAACCAACAAAGACCGGTCCTCGAGGTCGCCCGACGCGAAGAGCGCGCCCGCGAGCGCGCCGAGCTGCGCGCGCAGCCGCCGGCTCCAGGCCACGCCCGCGTCGCCCGAGAGGACGACGAGCGCCTTCTGCACCTTGGACCGCGTCGCGCGCGCCGCGGACGCGGACCCGGCCTTCAACTGGTCGGGGTCGCGCTGCATGACGTAGGACGCGCCGTAGAGCCGGCCCGACGCGCCCGGCGCGGTGAAGCGGCACGCGTCGCCGGCGTCGCCGACGTGGTGCGCGCCGTCCGGTAAAGCGAGGAACGGCAGCGCGTCGACCCACGGCCCGTCGGCGGCCGGGTGCGCCCACTCGAGCACGTTGCCCCGCGAGTGGTCGAAGCCGACGACGGCGACGTAGAGCGCGTCGTCGCCGGCCGCGCCGAGCCCCAGGTCCTCGCCGCTGTAGCGGAGCTCCGCGGGCACGACGAGCGGCGCGGCCGCGCCGCCGGGCGGCGCGTAGGGCGCGACGAGCGGGCCCGTGCCGTCGCCCTTCGGCGACGAGCCGGGCTCGTAGCGGAGCTCCGCGGGCACGACGAGCGGCTCCAACGCGTCGTCCGCCGCGGCGCGCGGCGGCGCGGCCTCCGCGGGCGCGGCGGCGGCGGGCGGCGCCGGCGCGTCGAGCTCGTCTTCGTCGTCGTCCGCCGCCGGCGCCGGCGGCGGGTCGTCGGCCGCCGGTGCGTAATCCGCGGCGGGCGGCGGCGGCGGCGCGTCGGCGGCGGCGGGCGGCGCCGGCGCGTCGAGCTCGTCTTCGTCGTCGTCCACCGGCGGCGCCGGCGGCGGCGCGGGCTGCGCCGGCAGCGGCGCGTCCAACTCGTCCTCGTCCGATCCCGCCAGGAGCTCCGCGAGCCGCGCCTCCTCGGCGCTTTGCGGCGCGTCCATTGTCGGCCTCCTCGACTGCCCTGACTCCTGGAGGCATGGGCTGTGGCAAAAGCTTGTGGCGCGCAGCATGCTCCTCGGCCAGGCGCGCGCAGCCATGCTCCTCAACCAGACTCATCCGACGGCATGACACGGTAGAGTTTACGTAAAATCGCTGCACCATGGCCGAGTGGAACCGGCGCCGCGAGCCCGACGTCCACGACGTCATGACCTGCCGCGGCGTCCTGCGCTGCGCGGCGACGCGCGACGCGCCGCGGCGCGCGCGCGCGCCGGCGCCGCCGCCGCGGGCGCCGCCGGCGGCGGCGGCGGCGGCGCGCCCCACGGTCGTCGTCGCGGGCCTCGGCGTCGCGGGCTGCGCGGCCGCGCGGTCGCTCCGGCGCCGTCTCGGCGCGGCGGTGCGGCTCCGCTGCGTCGACGCGGCGCCGCGGCTCGGCGCCGGCGGCGGCCTGCGCAGCGACGACGCCGGCCGCGACGTCGGCGCCCTGCGCCTCTCCTTCGACGGCGCGCGCGCGCCGTGCTGCGACGCGCTCGCGGAGCTCCTCGCGGACGTCGACCTCTACCACTGCGACGACGGCCTGCTGAGCCGGGGCGCGCTCGCGCGGACCTGCGAGCGGCCCCAGGGCTGGAACGGCGCGACGGGCCAGTGGGAGCACTTCGCGCACGCGGACGGCAACGTCGCGGTGCTCGCGCGGCTCCTCGAGCTCGCGGCGCCCGACGAGCTCGCGTTCGGCGCCGCGGCCGCGCTCGGCGACGTCGGCGCGCGCGACGCCGTCATCTTCGCCGTGCCCCGCGACGCCGCGGCGCGGGCCCTGGGCCGGCGCCTCCCGGCGGGCCCCGCGACGGTTCCGCGCGCGGCGACGTTCCTCGAGGGCGCCGGCCCGGCCGGCGAGCGCGACCTCGGCGGCGGCGTGCTCCTCGCGCCGGCGGCCGGCGGCGCCGTCGCCCACGCGCCGGGGGACGCGGCGCCGGACGACGTCGCCGCGCGCGCGCGCGCCGCGTGCCCGGGCCTCGCGCCCGCGCCGCGGCGCTGGACGTTCGCGCTCGCGGCGCCGCCCGACGGGCCGCCGCCGGAGCCGCCCTTCCTCGACCTCGGCGGCGGCGTCTTCGTCTGCGGCGACTGGTGCGCCGGCGGCGGCTCCGTCGACCGCGCGCTCGTCTCCGGGTCGTCGTGCGCGCGCCGCGTCGCGGAGCTGCTCTCGGGAGAGGTCGACGCGCCCCCGTCGTGACGGCGCAGGCTTGCTTACACCTACGCTCGTCAGTCGTCGCCGTGGATAGTCGCCGGTGGGGCTACTCGTCGTAGTAGGTGGTTGCGTCGTAGTCGTTCGTCGTAGTCGTACTACGACTCGTAGTCGTAGTCGTAGTCGTAGTCGTAGTCGTACTCGCAGATGATGATCCGCGCGCCGGACTCCGCGCCGGTCTCCGTGCATTCTTGGGCGTCGTCGAACGTGAGCGTCTCGACGTCGCCGTCGACGACGGCGCCGCCCTTGTAGATGACGACGCTATCCTCGCCGTCGCCGCCCTCGACGCGGGTGGCACCGTAGTAGGGGGGGTCTAAGTAGCCGTAGAAGCCACTGAGCACCTTCACGTGGTCGTCGCCGGCGCCGCCGTAGATGTTGTTGTTTCCCCAGGAACTCAACGACATGAGCGTGTCATCCCCGCCAAGGCCGTGGACGTCGGCGGAGGACACGACGAGCGCGCAGTCGTTACCCTCCGTGAGATGGACGGATCCGTAGTCGGAATTGAAGCTCTTGTCGTTGAAACACACGCAGCCGTCGTGCCCGCGGAAGTCGTACGCGTACGTGCGCCAGTAGGCGTCGGGGGTGGTGTCGGTCTTGTACGCGTCCGCGTTGGTGTAGTCGAACTCGGCGCACTCGTTCGGGCAGCAGGCCGAGCACGTGAGGTCGGCGCCGCGCGCGATCTTGCTCTCGCACGTCTCGTTCGGGTCCACCGGCGTCGGGCTATACGTCGGCGCCGGGGGGGCTGGCGGCGCCGGCGCCGGCGCGGGGCGGGCGTCGCCAAAGGCCGTGTCGCCACCGCCCCCGCCACCGGCGGCTACTCCGGCGTCCTCGGCCACCCGCATCCCCTCCCCGTCGAAGAAGCCAAAGCCGGCGACGCACGCGACGAGACTGAAAAAGCACGCGACCTTCATCGCCGCTCGGACAGCGGCGGGCATGCGGTGTGCCGGGTGCCGGTGCGCCGCGCGCTGGCGAGCGATTAGTGGCAGTTGAGGCGGCGGGCGCTCGGCGCGCGCGCCGAAACCCACGCTTTGAATCGCGATTCGACGCCCCTGAAACGTCAGACGATGTCCGTCCTCCTCAGGGGCGTCCTCGAGAAGCGGTCGCGCGAGGGCGAGTGGAAGCCCCAGACCTTCGAGGTGCGGTCCGACCACAAGCTGTCCTACTACGCCGGCGGCGGCCTGAGCCGGACGCTCGACTTCGCGGACGTGCTCAAGATCGAGCGCAAGAACACGAACACGCTCATCCTGTGGATGGACGGGTCGTCGCGGCACCAGCTCCGGCGGCCCGAGGAGGCGCCCGCGACGGGCCCGAGCCTCGACGACTTCGAGCGCGAGTGCCGCCGGGCCCACGGCGCGGCGACGGCCGCCGCGCGCGCGCCGGGGAAGCCGCGGCCGCCGCGGACGCCGGCCGCGGTCAAAGCCGCGACGCCCATGTCGCGCGGCCGGCGCACGGTGACGTTCCGCTCGCCGACGGCCGACGACGCGCCGGCGACGCCCGAGGCGCCGGCGACGCGCGAGGACGTCGCGAGCCTGCGCGAGTCCGCGGAGAAGGGCTTCGAGCGCCTGCTGTCGCGGTCGGCGTCGCCGCGCGTCGACGCGGACGCCGTCGGCTCCGTCGCGGCCGCGCGGACGCGCCGCGTCGCCACGGAGAAGCTCGTGCAGCAGGCCTTGAAGGTCCACGAAGAGGAGCAGAAGCGCGCGTCGCCCGCGGCGCGGCGCGAGCTCGCGAAGGAGCACGACGCGGAGCTGGACGCGCTCGAGACGATCCTGTCGCCGCAGATCGCGCGCGCGCGCGCGGAGCTCGAGGCCGCGTCGGCGTCGACGCCCGACTCGGGCGCGAGCGAGGCGTCGTCCATGTGCCTGACGTTCGCGGCGGAGTCGCTCGGGCGCGCGCGCGCGGCCGCGGAGCACCCGTCGCCGCAGAGCTCCGAGAGCTCCGAGACCGAGGCCGCGCGCGCGGGCCTGCCGTCGTCCTTCGCGCTCGACGACGCGACGCCGGACGGGTCCGTCGATTTGCCGCCGCCGCGGAATTTGGTGGGCAAGTCCGCGCGGAAGCCCGACCCCGCCGCGCGCGAGCGGCGGCTCCGGGACGCGGCCGTCGCGGCCGAGCGCCGGCGGGCCGCCGAGGAGCGCGACGCGCTGGAGGCGCGGCTGCGCCGGGCCGCGGCGGAGACGCCGGCCCACGCGCGGCTGCGCGAGAAGAAGCGCGTGAACGCGCTGCAGCAGCGGAACCGCGTGCTCCGCGACGCGCTCGGCGAACTCGAAAACGACGCGGACGCCGCGCGGCTCCGCGACGAGGTCGACGCGCTGCGCGAGGACCTGGACCTCCAGCGCACGCGCCAGCGGCTCCAGGCGGCGCAGACCGTCGGGCGCCACCTCCGGCGGCGGTCGCTCCGGCGGCAGTTCTGCAAATGGCGCGCCGCGCGCGACGCCGCGCTCCGCGACGAGATCGGCGCCGCGCGCGACGCGCACGACGCGTCGAAGCGCAACTTCGACCGGGCCATGGCCCGCGCGGAGGAGCACCGCGACGCCGCGGTCAACGCGCTGAAGAACGAGGTCGACGACCTCCGCGCGGACCTCGCGACGGCCGGCGCGGCGCACGAGGAGGAGGCCTTCGTCGCGGACCGCGCGCGCACGGTCGCCGTCGCCGCGGCGGAGAAGGCGGCGCTCGAGCGCCGCGCGGGCGACGTCGGCGAAATGCAGGCGGCGCACGCGCGCGACCTCGCGGCGCTCGAGGAGGCGCACGCCGCGCAGCTGGCAAGGCGCGACGCGGGCACGCTCGCGCTCAAGCGCGAGCGCGACGACGAGCGCCGGAGCGCCGCGGCGCGCTTCGCGGAGCTGCAGCGGCGGGCCGCGCTCGAGCTCGACGCCGCGAAGCGCGAGCTCGTCGAGAAGCACGTCGCGGCGCTCGAGCGGTCGCGGTCCGACGCCGACGACAGGGCAGCAAAAGAGAGCGAAATTCCCAACTTCAAAGGCTCATATCTCGGCCGTTTTCCACTCGTTTCGGCTCTTTTTTGGACGAGCGATCATCTCTCGGAACGGTCTCGAAGCGTAGATGCTTTTTCCGGAACGCGCGCGCGCGGAACACTCACGTTGAAGCGACGTTGAATCACGCTTTCGCTGCCCAGGCCGACGAGCGGCGGCTCCACGCGTTGCGCGACCGCGACGGCACCGTCGAGGCGCTCGAGGCGGACCGGCGGCGCCTCGAGAGTGTTCAGGCGCGCCTCGAGGGCGAGGTCGCGCGGGCCGCCGACGCGGCCGCGGAGGCGTTCTCCCGCGCGGACGCGGCCACGGACGACGCCGAGAAGTTCGAGGCGGACGCGCGCGTTTTGCGCGAGTCGCTGGACGCGAGCGAGGCGCGCGCCGAGGCCCTCGAGGACGAGCTCGAGCGGCGGACGGCCGCGGCCGCGGCCGACCAGCGGCGAAAAGCGTTGGAAAACGACAAGCTCGCCGTCGACCTCGCCGTCGCCGCGAAGCGGGCGCTCGACGGCGAGCGCGACGGCGGCGCGCTCGAGGGGAAGCTCCGGGACGCGGAGAACCGCGCGGCGGAGGCCGACGAGGCCGCGCGCGCGGCGGACGCGGGCCGGTCGTCCATCGCGCGCGAGGCCGCGGCGTTCGAAGCCGCGAGCCGCCGGACGACGGCCCAGCTCGAGGCCGACGTGCTGAAGCTGCGGGGCGAGCTCGACGCCGCGCGGCGCGACGGCGCGGGCGCCCTCGCGGCGCGCGACGACCGCGTCCGCGAGCTCGAGGCCGCGGCGCTCGACGCGACGTTCGGCCGCGACCGCGGCGCGAGGGCCGCCGAGGCCGCGCTCGCCGCCAAGGACGAGGCCCTGCGCGAGGCGGCCCTGCGCGAGGCGAACGCGGTCCGCGACCGCGAGGCGGCCAGGGTCGCGGCGGCCGCGGATCGCGCCGCGTGGGAGCGCGACGCCGCCGACGCCGCGGCCGAATGGGCGCGCGAGGTCGCCGCGCGCGACGACGCGCTCGCCGTCGCCGCGGCGGAGGCGTCGGCGATGGCCGCGGTCATCGGCGAGCGCGACGCGGCGCTGCGGGCCGCGGCCGACGAGGCCGCGCGCGCGCGGCGCGAGTGGACCGCGAGGCTCGGCGACGCGGAGGCCGCCGCGGCCGCGAGCTCCGAGACCGCGGCGGCGCTCGACGTCGCCGCGGCCAAGTACGAGGCGGAGATCGTCGCGCTCAAGGAGGCGCACGCGGCCCAGGTGTCCGCGGCGACGGCCGCGGCCGCGGCGTCGCGCGAGCGCGCGGACCGGCGCCTCGAGGCGAACGCGGAGCTCGAGTTCGGCGTCGACACGCTCAAGGACCAGCTCGCGGAGACGTCCCAGCTCTGGAAGGACGACGTGCGCGCCCAGGCCCAGGCCTTCGCCGCACAGCTCGCCGCCGCGACCCGGGCGAAGGACGACGAGATCGGCGCGTTGGAGCGGACGGTCGAGGCGCGCGACGAGACGATCCGCAAGCTGCGGAGCGACGATGCGCTCGCGCGGCTCGAGCGCAAGCACGCGACGGCCCTCGAGCTCGCCGCCGAGGCCGCGAGCCGCCGGCGCGCCGGCGACCTCGCGAAGATCGACGCGCTGGAGGCGCGGCTCGGCGCGGAGACGGCGGGCCTCGAGGACGAGCGCGCGGAGCACAAGGCCGCGCTCGAGCGGCTGCGGAGCGCGCTGCACGACGAGCGCGAGGGCCGCCTCGCGCTCGCGCGCGCGGAGACGGCGGCGGCGTCGGCGGCGCTAGACACGACGCTCCTGGAGCCTAGGGACGCCGCGGCGACGCACCGCGCGCTCGCGGACCTGAGCCGGCGCCACGCGGCGGTCGTCGCCGCGATGGAGGCCGACTTCGAGACGCGCCTCGCGGAGGCGTCCGAGGGCCAGGAGGACGCGTTCACGAGCGCCGTCGCGGCCGTCGAGGCCCGGGCCGCCGCGGAGAAGGACGCGCTCGCGGCGCGCGCGGCCGACGCGGACGCGGCCGCGGCCGCTGCGAAGCGCGCCGTCGCGCTCGCCGACGAGCGCGCCGCGCGCCTCACGGAGGCGGCGTCGATGCAGGACCAGCGCGCGCGCGACGACGCCGCGCGGTTCCGCGACGAGCTCGCGGCGGCCGCCGCGGCGCTCGCCGACGCGACGCGACGCGGCGACCGCCTCGGCGGCGAGCTCGAGGTCGCGAGCCTCCAGGCGGGCGAGGACCAGGGCAGGAAAAGAGAGCGAAATTCCCAACTTCAAAGGCTCCTATCTCGGCCGTTTTCCACTCGTTTCGGCTGATTTTTGGACGAGCGATCATCTCTTGGAACGGTCTCGAAGCGTGGATGCTTTTTCCGGAACGCGCGCGCGCGGAACACTCACGTTGAAGCGAACTTGAATCTCTCTTTTCCTGCCCAGGCGAGGACCGGCGCCGCGCGGCGGCGGCGCTCGAGGACGCGACGACGCGCGCCGGGGCCGACGCGGCGCGGGCCGCGGCCATCGAGGACCAGCTGCGGGCGGACCTCGCGAGCACGGCGAAGCTCCTCGAATCGACCGTCGCCGAGGCGCGCGAGCTCCGGAGCGACGTCGCCGAGCTGCGGCGCGGCGACGACCTGCGGGTGGCGACGCGGGAGCGCGACGCCGCGCGCGCTGAGTTGCGAAAAGCCGAGGCGACGGCCGAGGCCCTCGAGCGCGACGCGGCGGCGACGGGCGACGAGCTCCGGTCGCTGCGCGACGCGCTCGACGCCGCCAACGCGCAGGCGCTCGAGCGCGACATGGTCGCCGAGCGGCTCCGCGGCGACGTCGAAGCGTCCGCGACCGCGCTCAAGAACGCCACCGCCGACGCCGACGCCGCGGCGCGGCGCGCGTCGGAGGCTCTGGAGACCGCGCTCCGCGACCGCGAGACGGCCGCCGAGGCCTTCCGGAACTTGTCCAAGGACCGCGACGCGGCCGCGCGGCGCCACGCGGACGAAATGGCGAGCGCCGCGCGCGACATGGACGCCGAGTTCCACGCCCTGCGCGCCGAGGCGGCGTCCCTCGAGCGGCAGCGCGACGACGCGGCCGCGGCGCGCGAGCGCGAGGCGCGGGCGACCGCGGGCGAGCTGCTCGTCGCGCGCGACGCGGCGAAGCGCGCCGACGAGGCGCTCGCCGCGGCGCGGCGCGCGGCCGACGAGCGGCAGGACGACGCCCGGCGCGCGGAGGCGGCGCGCGCCGACGACGCGCTGAAGGCGCGCGAGGCGCTGCAGCGCGTCTCCCGGGCGTCGCGCGCCGACGTCGAGGCCGCCGCGGCGCGCGCGGCCGACGCCGAGCGCCGCGCGCGCGAGGCCGAGGCCCGCGCCGCCGCCCGCGACGGCGACGCGCGGC